CGACATCCACCGATTCGATTTTAATAAAGTTAAAAAATAAGGGAAAATTAATCTTTCTGTCGCATGACGTAATAAAAACGTGTGAAATGATTGTACCCGAATATCGAGATAGCATATTTAATATTAAAAATGTAAAAAATATGTTGTGTATGAAAGCGTTTCAAAGAATTTACGAAGACGTTTTTAACAATGACGAAATGACGCACCATACGTTAGGTCAAGAATTTATGAACGATCATAAAACAGTGTTAATAAAAACGATTATACTCTGACGTACCTGAATATGCGATTGTATCACGCGCAGGCAACTGTGCGGCTTCGGCAGAGGAGAAAGAGAACGTGCGACACATGTACACTAACAAGGGAACCTCTCGAGGTGATAAATTCTGATTTTAATGAAACTTTGTGAACTTGTAGTTTACATAAAGAGATGAATTTAGAAAATATCAGTTGCTGCCCAAAAACGGTTTGAAGGGGTGAAATCACCCTTTACGTGTACAGCGGTTTTCAGCTTTTTCCGTTATATCTTGAAAACTACTTGAGATATAAAAAAATGTTTTATACAAAAGTTTTACAACAAAATTAGCTGTATTCAATAGCGTTTTTAGAATAATTATTTAGTAATTTTTTTTCTAAATTTTCGAAAAAAAATTGTTAAATAATTATTCTAAAAAAATATCATTGACGTGAATAAATAGAGGTAATTTTATTGTAAAACTTTTGTATAAAACATTTTTTTATATCTCGAATAATTTTCGAGATATAACGGGGAAAGCAGAAAATCGCTTCACACATGAGGCTTGATTTCACCCTTCGAACTCTATGTTGGCAGCAATTTTCAGAACTTTAAAAAAATTATTATTTTTAAAAATATTTATGATAGATGTAATTTTATTATAAAGCTACTTGTAGAAAAGAATATGATAAAGATAAAGAAAATGATAAAATGCTATCATTTCCACACCACCATCATGAGGTAGATAGCATGGTGCGCTTTTTTTATAGTGGTTTCCCCAGTAGGCCTATTCCACTCTAATTTTTTTATGCACGAATTATTCCAAATGCCGTCATTGACTACTTTGGAACGTTTAAAAGATGTGTTTAAAAAGATATATTATTATTATTACACATAATAATATATTCGCGCGAGTAATATTTAAAAAATGCTTATCAAAATATTGTAAACTTACAACATCCTTCTCCTCATTTTCATAATTTAATAATGCACAGTTAAATAATTTAACTCAAGAAGATGTTTTAATTTGACTCTAATTTATTTACTTTCATACGTTAATGTGAACGTTGCTTATGTTGAAATTAACTACAGAAATGGATTGATTAACATTTTGATACACATGGAAGTAAAAAGATAATAAAATGTTATTTAACTCAAGAAACAGGGTTGCCATTGACATCTAATGGCTCCTTTGACATCTAACAGTGGTGAGTTACGGTACCATATATTTCCTGTAATGTTTAAGCACATTTTTTGTTATAAAGAGCAATGAATGTATTTATTATAAATTTTAAAAACTACTTGTTAATCTCGTTATTAATACTAACATGATTATTATATGACAAAATGTTCACAATTATGATATTCTTCAAAAAAATGCTGCATACAAAGATATTAGTCAATGACGGCATTTGGAATAATTCGTGCATAAAAAAATTAGAGTGGAATAGGCCTACTGGGGAAACCACTATAAAAAAAGCGCACCATGCTATCTACCTCATGATGGTGGTGTGGAAATGATAGCATTTTATCATTTTCTTTATCTTTATCATATTCTTTTCTACAAGTAGCTTTATAATAAAATTACATCTATCATAAATATTTTTAAAAATAATAATTTTTTTAAAGTTCTGAAAATTGCTGCCAACATAGAGTTCGAAGGGTGAAATCAAGCCTCATGTGTGAAGCGATTTTCTGCTTTCCCCGTTATATCTCGAAAATTATTCGAGATATAAAAAAATATTTTATACAAAAGTTTTACAATAAAATTACCTCTATTTATTCACGTCAATGATATTTTTTTAGAATAATTATTTAACAATTTTTTTTCGAAAATTTAGAAAAAAAATTACTAAATAATTATTCTAAAAACGCTATTGAATACAGCTAATTTTGTTGTAAAACTTTTGTATAAAACATTTTTTTATATGTCAAGTAGTTTTCAAGATATAACGGAAAAAGCTGAAAACGGCTGTACACGTAAAGGGTGATTTCACCCCTTCAAACCGTTTTTGGGCAGCAACTGATATTTTCTAAATTCATCTCTTTATGTAAACTACAAGTTCACAAAGTTTCATTAAAATCAGAATTTATCACCTCGAGAGGTTCCCTTGTAAGTTAATACATTTTAAGCATCAATAAATATATACTTATTTCATATTGAATGTGTATACATCCTTTCATACTTATTAACTCAAAGCATTTGTAGCGAGACTTTGACCACAGACATCGTCATGTAATATGTATAATAAATTACATTACAATATTATTTGACGTAAGTATAAAATTTTACAGAATTTTCTGGAATATAAATATTACTGAATCGTAATTGTCAGTATACGATAACAATATTTTATAATATATATAATTTTTTTTTCATTATATATTTTTATAATTGTTATAAGATAACTGCTTTAAATTAAAGCTTACGCCATGCTGAGCCTACTCCCCGAATTCATTTCCCACCTGATGGTATCTCCTTGTAAATACAATTACATACACTCCCAAATTTCAATAATTAATGTAATGGCATTTTACATAATTTCAAATAACTTATTTCAATACATAATTTTAAAGAATTCCATTTGTCACAAACATTAACATGTCTACTTTTTACTGTCATCCCTATTTCACGGTACATTGTACATATCTCATTCATTTTGCACATAATATAATTTTACTATATTCAATTTTTACACAAATGTATTCAAGTAATATATTCTCAATTATTTTTTTCACACAAAATATTTTTAGTTCACACTACGTATTCATTTCATACAAATTTTTCGATTCATTAACAGTAAATACTTCCATTATATTTCCCGACTCTCCATACGCGATACTTGAACAAGAAACATCGGAACCGCATGCGCATTGAGAACATTTATCCCTTACTACCTTTCTCTCTCGCACAGATGTTTGCATCAGCGCGAGCCATGGAAAGTATAGGTAATACCCATTCCATTTATATATGTTCTAAGATCGAGATACGTAGGATACGTGCAGATACGTGTTAGCGAGTCGAAATTATAAACGAATTGAATGAAATACTTTGTAATACTTTGGAAAACGAAAAAAAATTAAAAAATGGAAGATCATAACATAGAAGATCATGGTATGCAAAGTCCAATGACTTCGATAGAGGAAGAGCGATTGTTAATTGATCTAAAAGGTTATCCACACCTTTATGATAAGGAATGTAAAGATTTTCGAGATGTTGTTAAAAGGAACAATTCATGGAAAAAAATAGAACAAATCTTACATGCAACAGATATAGAATATATTTTTAAATATTTTGTATATCGACATTGTATGTAATAAATGTCATGATTTTTAATAATTATCATAATAGCAAAATTTGTTGCAAATTATTATGTGCAATGGTTGTATTTTCGATGACAAATTGTTTGTTTTTATCGGATTTCGCTATTATGAAGTATATATTTCTCATATACAGGGTGTCCCATTTAACCTGAAATATCGAAATAACTCAAAAAATACGAATTGGAAGACATAATAACCAAAATAAAAGTTGTTCCTGTCGAAGAGAGCCGTCGAATGATATCAAAATCGACTTCGCCCCCGCCCCCCTGGGGGTGGGGTGGAGGGCAACTTTTGAATGTCAAACGGGAACCCCCATTTTTTATTACAGATTCGGATTCTCCATGGAAAAATAAGTAAGTTTTATTCGAAACTTTTTTTTCGATTCGTGGCAGATGGCGCTGTAAACGATGAAAACGAAAGAAAGTAGGAGTAACGAAAGATTGAGACTGGGCATTGGATATAACAATTTTTGAGAAAAGTATCCAACGAATCAAACTCCCCTCGCCTCTCACCTTCGGGGTGCTTGTTTTCGGTGAGTCCCCTCGCCTCTCACCTTCGGGGTGCTTGTTTTCGGTGAGTCCCCTCGCCTCTCACTGAAAATACTGTTCGAAACAGAATAGGGTAAAATGGAGCTTTTTCATTGATGAGGTTATTCTGGCCAGTGATAATGTTTATGTTTATGTATAGCTAATATTCAACATCCTTTATTAAACGTTTTTTTATTATAATTATAAAGCCTTTCTATCACTATATCTTATTGTTAGTAATAATTTCCTTTCATTACATATCGCCCAACGCTGTTACGAAATAATAATAATAACATACATTAGTGTATATATAAAGGGTGTTTATTTAAGTTTTATAAAAGAATTACCTGAAAGTTACTGGATTCTGTAGGACCTTTATTTAAAATTCCAGGAGATTATAAAAGTATTTAATGCAACTTTCAAATAATTCAGTTTACTAAATCTTTTAACGTTTCTTAATTAATACATTGAAAAAAGTCACTAAAGTTGTAATTATTATTGTAATTTGAAAAATTAAAAAGAAATAATATGAACTAACGATCAGCATATAATGATTAGCCGCAATATATGAATTTAACTTACCGAACGTACATAATTCGAAAGATGATAACACATACAATTCTTAATTCATAACTTTTAATATAATATAAAAATACTTTAATTAATAAGTTCGCGCGTAAACACATTTTAAATTACATCTCTATTAGTTCCTCTACGAATATACTCTATTTGCCATGGTACTGCACCTTGTAATGATAAATATTCTGCTAACATATCTCTTTGATTATAAGTGTTACGTCACCAAAAATTTCAATATTTAGATATAAGAAAAATGTACACTTATTCTAAAATCTTAGCATTTACTTTAAGAAACACGACTCTAACCATCCTATAGAAACAGTAACGAATTTTACCTTAACCGCTTTCTTCTGATAACGAATTTCCCCTCACGTATTTCTCTAATAAAATTTCGAGATTAGATGCGCCTACAGAATAAACTTTGACAAGCCCAACAGCATTGGATCGCTGCTGGGATTCTCGTCGAAGCGTATACTGCAACCGCGAAGATGGCACGAATCCGACGTGTCGATCAACATAATAAACGTAAATGTTATCCGCGTAGAATGTAACGTGACCGCGGGCGCGTACAGCAACGGCAAAGGTGCACACACGATACACGAATTTTCCCCGAGCGTGCCACCGGGATATAAGATATCGGAAAGACCTGCGCAGATCTTTACTTGCCGATCACCGCACGGAGCATTACGGATCTAACGATACGCGTCGTCGACCAGAACGGCCGATTGCTCGATTTTCGAGGAGAAGAGATTACCGTCAGATTGCACGTGCGACGGCGAACGCGAGCGTGAGATGCTTATATTGAACGGAACGGAGCGCACGCAGAGAGATAACGCATTATTTACAAGGCCAGTGACGTCACAGCTCGAAAACATTCGCTCATCCAGCTGTAGGAAGAAGAAGCTCAGCGCATCGAACGTTGAATTTTTACAATCTTTGGGATTCGCGGTACGCAACTTTCGAGATGATTGATATCTTGAATATTACCGGTGAACCGATCTTTGACGATCGCATCGTCAAGATCGAGACTCACACGTACAACCCGTTCGCCAACACAACGTTCGGGTACAGCGACGAGATAAGAGGTATGTTCTTTTTGATGACGGTGCATGCACTTTCTGTACCTAGTGCAAGGTGCAGAACAATTTACGTTTTATTTGCCGGAACTGACGTCACTGCAAAATAGTGCACGCGTTCTATTTCAACGGAACACTTGAAAATTGGTGCATAGGTACAAGAATTTTTGTACCATCTTTCGAGGCGGTGCAGCGTATGGTACAGTGGATATAATTTTGAGATTGCGCACTACACCGGGGCTACGTGTTTTGATACTTAACCTTTCAAGGCAGTGTGAGAAGTCGTTAACTCATTACCGGATAACACCGTGTATTGGAAAGTGCATGCATTTCCAGAAAACAATGGAGAGGAAAGAAAGCACTTTCTTTATAGATTGTGATGCAAATGATTTCATTTATGACGAACAAGGATTTTTAATCGGTGCCTCTAAAGGTAAATAAGATCTATATTAATTTATTAAGATCTATATTTATTTATTACTGTATTAAGTTATTTAAAATAATAAATACTAAATAACTGTCCAAATAATAAAGACAGGGCTACGAGCCAAGCAATCATTTAATTATTTGAATTTTATAAGTTATTTGAGCCTTAGTTTCTATATTATTTTTACTAAATAACTTGTTTTATTTTTTTTATTTAAAATACGAGTCTTGCTAATAACAAAATAAAATTTTACAGATGGCACTGTACAATTTGTTGTAAACCCAAAAAACATTGACGTATCTGCAAATCAGTTATTAGTGAACATTGATAACTCTTTTGAAGCTGTTATTGATTTACGACAATATAAACAATATTTTGAAAAACTTACTTCATCGACATTACTCTCTAGTCAGAACAATTGTGATATAAGCAATGATGTCGGATCCGAAAGTTTTGAGAACGAAGATATCGGGACAATTGTGTGGAATGAAAGTAGCACAAAATTCTTTTTGGCTTTATTTAAAGAAAAAAGAGAAGATGTAACAAGCAGAAAAATAAAGAATCTTAAAAAAATGTGGGAAATTATAGCCACAGAAATGACTATAAATGGATATAGTGTTACAGCACGACAAGCTGAAAATAAAATGAAAAGTTTAAATCGTTCATATAAGAATATGAAAAGTCATAATAAAAAAACAGGACGTAATAGAGCTGATTGTTCATACCGAAGGTATTTTACTATTCATAAAAAATGATAAATATATATATACATATATGGGGTTGGAAAACATTACTTTTCCGTTACCCTGATATAATTCTTTTTGATATAATTCTTCCTCTTTTTCATATAGGGAATTAGATGATATTTTAGGAAAAAAACATAACATTGAGCCTTTAGTAGTATGTGGAAATAGAATTGGAACAAAATTAAAAGAGGTCGAAGAAAGACCAGTATTATGTGAAAATAGAATCGGAACATTATTAAAAGAGGTCGAAAAAACATCAAATTATAAAGCGTCATCTTCTCGATATTCCGCAGGTGAAGATCTTGACATGTAAGTTTCATAACTTTTAAATACATTATCAGATAAGCTGTATATTTATTGCATTTGGTACATTTTAATTGTAATATTTATAAACATTTAATATATCATGTTTTTCAATTGTAGCATGCAAGAAGAAAATGGAACAATTACCGAGAATATTGATAAAGAGAACTGTGATATTGTTACTATAAATGCTAGAAATTGTGCAAACATTGATAGTAATAGTACAGATGTAAACGATACTAGTCATGTAAAAACAAAAAAGAAAAGACCAAATAACATCGATGTAATCAAAGATACCATTAGCACTATTGGGGAAGAATTCAGAATGAGAAGGAAGGAATCCAAAGACTTTCAAAAAAAATATTTGGAATTGCAAGAAAACAAAACTCCAGTAAGAGAAGAAAGAAATAATATTTTAAAGGAAAAGAATGTTATATTGCTGGAACAGAACAAATTATTAAAAAATCAAAATTCTGTACTGCAGGCAATTTTATTAGAACTAAAAGAACTCAACAACTCAACTTAGTTTTTTATTACAGATTATTACGTAAAGAATATTATCTATTTTTAATTGAAATATCTATGTCATTGAAAATCAAATTCTATGTTACAAGCGTACTGTTTTGTTTCTATGATAGTTTATATGTACTAAAGCTCCTTGTAACTCACATTAAATTATAGGAAAATGTTATGTTACATGTTAAAAGGAATATGAATAAGATACAAATAAATTACAAATGTGTAGCGTATTATTTCTTTAGTTACAACTTATTGTACAATAATTTTAAACAAATAATTGTAAATGTTATAAAAGTCAAAATATTATATCATATCGATAACAGTACATAGAAATCATTAATCACAATCGAGTAGCTAATTGCCGACAAATTTCATCCCTTACAATTTGTCCAGTATTGTTCTGTACATGTTCTTCGTGTTCATATTGTGCCACTTGTACGTGTTCATATTGTGCCAATGCTGGATCAGGATATGCATCATCCAATGGTGGTTCAAAAATGTCCATGTCATTTGCATTTCCGATGTTGTGCAAAATGCAACATGCATTGATAACTTGAACCATTCTTACAATGTTACGCAATTTAAAGTGATATAATTGACGAAATCGTTGCTTTAAATCTGCAAACGAATTCTCAGATGTAATTCTACAAGAGCTGAGCTTCTGATTGAAATTAATTTGAGCTCTTGTTAATTGTCCATTGTCTCTGTACGGCACAAGAACATGAGGCAAACATGGATATGCACTATCGGCTAGTATGTATGTACCATCTGCAAGGATAAATGAGCAAATTCTTTCAATATTTTGAAATTGTAATGTACCAAAATGTGTTAAACACACATATTTAATACTATGCTGTAAATAAATACCTCCACAAATATTGCTTAAACATTCATTTAATTCAGACTCATTAAAAACACGAGCATCGTGTACAGACCCTGGATAACCTACAAAGACGTCAATGAATTTTCGTTGGTGATTGACAACTCCTTGTAGTTGTATTGAAAAATATTGCTTCCTATTAATGTATGAATCAGGATCTTCTAACGGTTTGTCTATACGAATATGGGTTCCATCCATTGAACCTGTATCACAAACAAAATATGTACTTAAAAATTAATTCGATAATGGAATCAATCAATAATAAAATTAATAATCAATAATTGATTGATTACAATATTATAATAATCAATAATTGAATAACTACGAGGAATAAAAAATTAATTAATAATTTATATTATTCTTGTTCTATATAGAAAAGGAATAATATAAATTATTAATATATATTGTTCTGAACTCTTCATTTTTAGATTAAAAAATACATATATGAACTACAAATAACATTGTATTACAACTATATTGTTTCTTTCCCATTGTATTTTCAAAGTTCTTACCTATG